AACTTGTCCACTAGCCATTTTTTAGGTAATGATTACCAAAAATGAATCTAAGACTGCTTAAAAAATATAGTCCACATGACCAACATTTTAGGTAATGCGTGGCCTTAGTGCCTTTTTCTGGTCATGTTTTCTAAAAATTTTAAAATTTTAATTTTAGGTAATTAGGACCCTTTTTAGTCTATTTTGTTTTCTGGGTGTAGGAAGGATGAACAAATAATTGTGATATAAAAACCGCTTCATAATATTTATTTCGGAAATTAATTTCTAAGCTTTAAATAACGATCTGCAAGTGTAGGTATATAAGCTAAGCTTTACTTTTTGTGTTTACAGGCATTACTCGACGAAGGTTTTAATTCGCTGCAGATGTTAATTTTAATCATTTTTCATCGGAATACTTCTTTTAACTTATAAAGAGTGGAATGTCCCACAATCATCACACAACATTTTCATCTTGTTATTTAATATTCACTTCAGGATTGCAGAAATGTCTTTGCTCATTTAATTGCTGAACAAGGCAGCATTGCATTCGTTTAGCCATTTTTCTTAATTTATTTCGGATTATGAATTCGGAATTTTCGGAGCATTTTACTCATTACTTGCATTTCATTTCAAGTCCTTCAATCATTTCATTATTTCGTTTGCACATTCTGTAAATATTCACTGCATTCGGGAAGCTTTTCCGTCCGCTTTTCGCCGAAGGAAAACTGCTCCATACCGCCATGCTTCCCACTTTTTTCTTTGCCTTTCCCTTTGTGAGGTTACTTTAACGTGTTTTGCTTTTGTTTTCGGCTTCATTACATTGAAGTTTTGTTTTGCCCTGCCATTGCCTTCAGTTGGTTTTTATTGTCTGCGTTTTTTTTTCAAGTATTTTCTTGTCGTTTTTTCTTGTTTGTGGAAATTAAGCTTTGAAAAATGGCTGCACACAGAGAGTCACACAGTGCAACTACTGCACACATAAGTATTTGGAAAATTACTTTCATTTGTGTGTGCTTCGTTTGGCTTGTTATTGTCGAAGGAGTAGCCTGGCAACTGGTTTAGGTCCTGCCGATCCCTACTCCACCCCCCTCCGTCGCCTCACCGTTTTTGTGGCTTTCGGGGAAAGCATTTTCATTTATATTTAGTTCTTCTCTCGACGCTTTCCTTTGGCCATTATCAAAGTCCCCTTCCCTTCAGCATTTGTAAATTACAAAAATGAAATTAAGTTCACACTTTGTCATGTGGGGACATTTACGGTTTTTAATTGTTTGTGCGCTGCGTTAAGCACTTGAGTTGGATTGCCTGGAAGGAGGGGAAAGAGCAGTCAGTGGGGAAAAGTTGCCTACTTTTCGGGGCTAAAATGAGGAATGAGGAATGAAAGCCCTCGTCCTGTGTACATTAATAATTTGGTTAAATATTTTTCCATGTGTGTGTGCTCGTCTAATTATAAATTATTCTTGGTATTAAATGAGGCACCCTTCAGAGGACAGGCCACTTCAACTTGAACCTTCTGAGACGCATCATTGATGTCCCTGGATGGGGATGGTGATGTTCATTGATATATGTGCTTTCCTAAAAAACATGCTTTTACAGAAGGTTAAAGCCAGTATTGTTTTAAGTCGCGTTATTTTTACTTTATCAAATAAAATCTAATTTAATGCATCTAATAGCCCTAAAAAGCTTTCATTTCTATTTAGTTACCAAATTCCCAAGAGTCAACTTATTTAGCAGGGTTTTACAAGGCTTAATCGTGTGTAATTTTCAAATTTTTTTATTTTATCCGTTGAACAGTTTCTCTGTTTCCCGAATTCTCTGCTCCTTGTGACTTTATTTCCTTTTTCTATGTTGCTGGCTCATCAAGTTGTAATCGCATTTGAGAAGGAAACCAATTTTGCAGCCGATTTACATTTGCTAGGTCTTTTTTGAAGATGGCATCGGGGAAATGCGGCGAGTTTAAGAAGTCTGGGCGCTTATCTGACGCCTCTGACATAATATATGGCACAGTTTTTTGTTCAAGTTACAGACACAGAACAAAATTAAGGTGGAAACACCTCGATTAGACAAAAATATATATAAGTCCCTTGTTATGCTTTCAACAAATTTAAATATACAAAATGTTATTAAAAAACCGAAAACGGTTGGTGTCCCGACTATCTAATAACCGTCACTCAGCTAAAGGGAGTGCGAACGCTGTACTCAGGTTGGTGTCCCGTCTAATAATCGTAACCCAGCTAAAGGGAGTGCAAGGGAGATAGATATATAAACAATTTGGATTGCGTATAACTTTTTAATGAATGGTCCGTTTTGAAAAATGTCTTCTACATTTCGATAGGTAGAAATATACACAACAAAATTGCAATTATACTTCTCGGAAATCTTTAAAGATGTGGGCGCAGGACCCATTTTAAAATCGTTAGTGGGCGATTGTGGGAGTTAGAAGGGGCGTGTCGCTCGGCTGAAATACCTTCAGCTTCAACCTTCTAGCTTTTGTAGTTACTGAGATCTCAACGTTCATACAGACGGACAGACGGAAATGTCTAGATCGACTCGATTAGGGACCCTGATCAAGAATATATATACTTTATGGGGTCGGAAACGCTTTCTTCTAGCTGTTAAATACTTTTGCACGGATACAATATACTCTTTTACTCTACGAGTAACGGGTATAAAAAGGTCTCATTAATAACTGCCTAAAAATAACATCCACGAATAAATAAAATATATGTAAGCCCCTTGTTATGGTTATAATATTATAATGTTAAATATTACGAAGAAACCGAAATTATAACTGGTTTCTGTGAAACAAGTAGTCAGAAGCCATATTTTCAGAGCTTGTAAATAAAAACCGCTGCAAGCAAGTTCCCTTCAATTCAGTAGTAAGCGTCTTCATCAAAATACTTTCCTCAGTGCACACATATAGGACTGCGAATTACCTAACTCCTGTGCTGGACTCAGACTTTCCCCTTTTCCCCTCCATCTGGCAACAATTACACTTGCCCCAGCACCAGGCTTGATGACTTGGCTTTGCTTTCAATTTGGTTGCACTTGCCAAGAGCACCGAAAACCCCAAAAAACCCCCAAAGAAAAATGGAAAACAAAAAAGGCAAGCCGACCGACAAATGGAAAATGAAAAACCAAACCAAAGCAAACCGAAAATGTTTTGATATTTGTTTTTGGCCCCAAGACTGTTTTGGCATCGGTGGATGCGGTCAGAGATTAGTTTGAGATTACAAAGCACACAAACACATCCCATAAAAATCTGAGCGTAATAAAATGGAAAATAATTAGTATGGACAACAAGGAAGAGGCTGCTGACAATTTCCTTAATGTCAAATGGAACGGAAATTGATAAGGACACATTAATTTGTAGCCATGTTGCGGATGGCTGATGGCTGATGGCTGATGCTCACCATCGCCACCCACAAAGCCCCAAAAAAGGACGTGGGATCCCCCGGGGATTGGTACTGTTAAGTGTGGCCGCAGCAAAATTTAATTGCACAGTGGAATGAATTATGAATTGATGAAATTTCGCTTTCCGGCCAGTAATTGGAACGGGCTCAAGCCACGCCCCACTCCCTATTACCCACTCCCAATTCGCCACTCCCCGATTCGATGGCCATTAAAAGCCCCCGACATGGCCTACAACAGCTGTTGCTACACGGCTCAACATGGCTTTTCCAGCCCCCTCCCCCACCCCTACTCGCTTTTCCTTCTGCAAATATTTGAATTTAGAGGCTGGGAAATGGGAAATGTTCGGCCAACTTCAGAGCAATCGTTGCCACTTCTCAGCCTGTTGCGTGCCGCTCCCACAAATAATACCCGATGCCCGGCCATCTCTCCGATTCTTAACCCTCGTCGCCCAGCCTCGCTTTGTGGCCGTCTAACAATGCCTGGAAATGATTAATTTATTGAAATTTACGCTTATTGCCGTTCTAACAAAATTTTTATTTATGTCCCTTTATTTGGAGAAGCGGTGCCGATAATTTGTCAAAAAGTCGTAAATTATAATAATACAAAACCCAAGAATCAGACACAAAAGTTGAGCTCACAGCTCAGCAAAGGAAGGCAGAAAGGTGGTGGGTGAGTCCTTCTCTTCAAGTCCTAATACCCTTACATTTAGGTTTTTGTTTTTATTTCTTTACATTAAAGCTAGAGGTGGGCAATTGAATCTGTTTAGCTGCAAAATAATAATAGTTTATATGAATAATTATAAATGTTTATCCGTCGCATTAAACATATTTCTTTGTTTTAAGCAAACAGAATATAAAATATACAAGTGAAATAAATAATTTGGATAAATATGCGTGTTCCTAAGCCTTTTAGAAGGGTACCACACACTCAGGAAACCACAAGAAAAAGGTTTGTGTGTGTGTCTAAGCCTCTAGAAAGAGAGAGCACCATACGGTTAGAGAGGGAGGGCGATAATAAGAACCGAGCATTCAATTTGCTTGTGGTTTATTTAGTTCGCTGGAAGGCGAAGGGACGGGCCGGAGGATTGGGGCTTGCGGTTCAGCCGCACAACTTTGTGGGTCCAATATCTTCGGTGAGGGACTTAACTACCCCCACCCACTCGCGTGTGTATGACAAAGATAAACACATTCCAGCATTTCGACAGCGGCAACGATAACGCCTTCAATTATTAATTATTATCACCGCAAAGTCAAATGTAAAAGCTTCAATTAAAACGCAAAAAACCTTGCGGCATATGCAATATGTGCACTGAGAAGATAAATACTTTGAAGAAAGTTGGTCTCTAGATGTGTTGATTAATCTTGCCCCGGACAAGATATATATTTCCTGTCATTTGTGAACATTTTAATGGCTCACTATATATCCATACTTGTTTAGTATTTTAATTCAACAACAACAAATAAAAATAATAAAGATTTTTTTTCTGTGTACACACGGACGCACACAAGGAAAGGCAGCTGCATTGCTCGACTCATGTCCCAGATTTTTTTCCCATTTTCCTTTTTCCCCCGCCCTGTTGTTAATGATTTATACAAGGATTAATTTATACTCACTAATGGATTTCACTTGGCAATGTCCTGCCAGCATTCAATATTATCAATTACTCTCCTTCACAGCCGCTGAAGAGTCTGCCTGGAAAAACAAGACGCAAAAAGAGGAAAATTAAGCAAAATTAATTATGGCCCAGTAAGCAACATTGCCACACCGCATGCAAATTGCTTGGCATTTATTTTATGGCATTTCCTTTGCATTTCGCTGCGTGGCTATTTTATTGATATTCCCCCTGCAGGTGGAGTGAAATACGGTTGAAAAGTAAAGTAAAATAAACAACTTCAGTGAGAGATCAAACGGCGCTCGCATAAAAATCAACTAATTTGCGCACTTTACCATGCAAAGGTCCTCCGGAGGACTGCAAATAGAGGAGGAAGCCCGGAAGAACGGAGACGGGCGATGCGGAAACGGCTGTCAATAAAATAAATGAGCGCCATTAGCAGCGGAAAATGATAAACACTTGAAAGTGTTTCGCCGCCGAGCATAGAGCAGATACCAAGACCACGCCCACTTTCCACAGCTCTGGAAAAAATGTAGACGAAGAAATATATATACGTACATGGAAGTTCTCGCAACGGAGAAAGGGACAATGCAAAACATTGGCTACGAAATGACCCGGAATGCCGGGCAGTGATGCAAGGGATTTTGTTTGCTTATGGAAATCGACTGACATCAGATATCCAGATGGCTGATAACAGGAGCAAATTGAAATTCAGTTGGCTAACTGGTGGCGAGGTAAATGACTTTCGTATGCGAAAGTTCCTAAAAATGTAATGCAATAATTAAATTCATTAGGTCCCTTATAAGCTTAAAATCGACTCAAGACTATGTATATCGCTATGGACGGCAGTCCATGTAGTGACGAAGCGCACCAGGTGCGAAGGCGACTACTACACAGAGAAAAAAACGGAACAATATGGAACTGATATTGTTTCAAATAAATTTTTCCATAACAAAATGGTATGATTTCATATCAATATGGTACAAAATCATATGTTCGGAAATATCATTTTGATATGAAAACAGATGGACCGAAATTGATATGAAAAAATACCCGATGGATGATTATTTTTGGTATTTTTTTTTCTCTGTGTATATATAGCCGCAGAATTGAAAATCTGCTGTGATGCTCCGATCATAATGAGTGATACACCAATCGAAAGGTATCGCAAAAACTATAAGGATTGCATACCAAGACTTTAAGAAAATCAATTGGCTTGGGAGAGAAAGCGGAGAAAGTAAAAGAGTACAAATTTCGAATTTTGGAGCTGTTGGGGCCGGTGGGGATAAATGCCCCCCACGCAATGTTTTAGTCGTTTTCCTATTGAAAATACCCGGTCATATCCGACGCTCCGTTAAAAAATTATAGCCAAAAGAAGATTTTCTTCTTTTTCCCAAAATGAAAATTTAAATCTGCTTGTCAGCTTGTGTGTCTGTCCCAAAACGTTGGTTTAAAGTCCTGGAAATTTTATATGGTGTTAAACAGCTTGAGATAAGAAACATTAGTTCTACCACTTTTGAAAAAAATTCGCTAATTAAGCGGGAAATAGCTATAAATAGCTAAATTTAGAAAGCCCATAACTTTCGAATAGTCAAATACCTACAGACTTGTGCTATACCTCATATTAAAGGTATTTTGAAGGACAATAAACGCCTTCTTAACGCTATTTATGTATATACAATAGTTAAAAACGTATGTACAAAACCATTTTCTTTAAACTTTATTTTTGACTTTTTTTTTTCTCAAAAACGGCTCTAACGATTTTCTTTAAAACTTTAAACTATATAGCCCTTGAGATTCCTTAAATTTTGGTATATAACACATTATTGTAAAAACTCAGAACAACTAACGCTCCTTAGGCATTGAATTTTGTGCGTGGGTGTCCAAACAGTATTTTAGAGTCATGGAATCAGTTAATTTGCATTTAACAGTTCCATATAGGAATCTTTTGTTCTACGACTTTTGGAAAAACCCGCTACTTTAGCGGGAAAAAAGCTAAAAGTAGCTAAATTTCGTTAATTTGTAAGTTCTACACTACTAAAGCTACAGACATGTGATACACATACCTCATCATCTTATTGATGCAAATTTTAAACTCAAAGTGTAGAATTCATGTAACAATAGTTTCTATGATATTTTTTTTTGTGTAGTTCAAATAGTTCAATCGATTTACTGTAATAATGTTTTTTAGTACACCATTTATTTATTTAACTAATAATATTCCAATCAGAAAGTTGAGCAAACAAGTGCGAAGTTTTTGAAAAAAATTGTCATAAAATGAGTACTATATTTGAAAAATAAGCACTTTTGGCTTGAATAAATGAAAAATAGACAACTCGTTTGCTTAAGTAAATTAAATTGCGTATCTGGGACCTCCAGACAAATAAAATAAACGACATTATTTAACCCATGTAAATTGGTGTTTTCCACTGTGCGTTTTTTCTGGACCTTGTCAGATGACTAGATCGCAAGATAGTCAGCCAGACGTCTGCTGGTGTTTGGTGGGTAATTCCACCCCCACTGGTCTTCTCACGCCCGGAGGGTGGGTGGTTGGATGGTTGGTTGGGCGGCGGTTGTGTGGGTCACAAAGCCGAAGGCAAACAAGTCGCGTACATTTGTGCAAATAAAATTTGCTTGAATAATTTTATGAATGGTAGACAAACTGTTAAAGCAATGAGCAAGGGAAACGGAAATGGAAATGGAAAGCGGGTAAAAATGTGGTGAGCAGGCAGGCATCTATTCCAAGGAAAAACCAGCAAGCACGAGGAAACGTCATGACATGCAATTTATTATTACATCAAAGGGTTAATTGCGCCCATCTGTATGTGTGAGTTGAGCAGCGCTTTCAAGAGTATTTTTTGCGGTGCACTTTCCACGTGCCGCCAGGCTCTCCTTGTGAGTGTGCGCCCTATGTTTAATAAACGACAACACTTGAAATAAATTGCAGCAAATCAAGTTAAATAAATTGCGCGAATGTGCGAAGCCCAAGGACAAAAAGGTGGGGGAGTCGTTATCACTCACACACTCATGCCACGATTTCCCATTTTGCTTTCATACACATGTGTGTGTATGCTGGCATGTCGTCATCTGGGCAACTGAAGTTTCCGCGGACCTGCAAAAATTTTTCCTCAGACTTTCCCAGCCCCCCTATTTTTTGGACTAATGTGTGGTTTATACGTGCGAGCCATCAATTATTTTCGATTTTTTAACCTGGGATTCGATGCAACTTCTCCCATTACGTGGAGTATTAAATTCCCGAAAGACTAAGCAATGAAAAAATTGTATGAGTTGGAAAACCAATTACGTTGTGTAGCAATCTGTGTTTTGTTTTTGATTATTTTTGATTATTTATATTCCCCCAAATATGGGCAATACAAATGATTCCGGCCGATAAATTGGGCATTTACTGGCCCCTCCGGCCTCCTAGCTCGGGCGTGGCTGGATCAATTAACGGCTCAATTAACAGTGCGTAATCGGTAACCACATTAATCGTTTCCATTAATCAATTGAGTTCGCCCCGCGCTTTATTGCTATCTGAAACTTGGCACGTTTTTAGTCATATTCAACCGATATCCAGAGCGCTGTTAATTTATTAATTTATTTTTATTTACTCACTGGAACCAAAAGTGCACATATTTACTTGCGTCTTATTTATTCAGACGCGACTGGGGAAATGTTCTCCTTTTCTAATTCTGATTTGCAGGCCACAGAGAAAAAATAATATTAATTCGAGAATAACAAAAAAAGTCATAAATAGTAAAGGATTATCTATTAATGTACTTTTCTGATAGGTCATTATAGACTTATAAATATATATATATAATATATAAGTATTCAAAATTAAGAAAATATTAACACAAAAAATTATTTACAGTTTTTCTCAGTGTTTAGATTTTTCATCATCGGTCCCCAAAGGGGAAATATATTTTGATTACGTGCGTGCTCCGACATTCCGTCTGGAAGATTGACTCATTTGCCCATTTTTGATAGAATGTCGCCAACTAAAATGTGTTCCACTTTCCCGCCTACCCAAGGATGCCCGCCCACTAGCCACCGCCCCCAGCTTTTCCCCCTTTCCCCCAGCGCCCACCAAGTTTATCGCGTTGTTTGCCTTTTGCGTTGTTTGCCTTTGCCGCTTTGTCAACACAAAAAACGAAAAGAAAAGGCAACAAAGAAGCGGGGAAAAGCCAGGGGAAAAACGTTGAAAAGCAGGGCCGAAAGTAAACGAAAAGGGTTGTAAAAACGTAATGGCGAGTTAAATAAAAGAGCGAACGTGCTGAGGGGGCCAGAAATATGCCAACACTCACACAGGCGAAAAAGTGTACTAAAATATATATTCAAAAGTGTCATAAATGTAATACAACTTTTCCTTTATGACAACTACATATGGGTATGTATGTGTTTTTTGTTGTTCCATGTTGGCGTGTTGTTTGAGTGCCACTCTTTAGAAACTTCTCTTCGGCCAATAAAAATAAAAATAGAGTTTGAATAAAATAAAGTAAAAAGATATAAAGGAGGTGTCCAACAAAAAACAAATAGCTATGTAAACTCTTTTTCGGGACATAGCTAGACACTTTTACCTAGCTGCGTACCTAGATATCATTTAGAGGCATTTCCACCAGAAAATCAACCAAGTCAAATTTTATTTAAGTTTCTATATGATTTTGCACCAATATTAGTTTCTAATTAGTTTGATCGTGAACCAAACTAAGAAATTTCAATATAGTTTAATTAATTTAAATTACAAAACCTTTTTAGAACTGTCTTCGGTTTTTCATTTATCCTATAGGAATACTAAAATAAAACAATTTTATGTTCTCAATGCCTCATTTACATGTTCAACTACTAAAAAGGTACATAACCAAAAGGTAAACAACCGGTAGGATAGAGTTAGGGCTGAAGAAAATCACACCAAAATTATTTCATAGAACATTATTGGACAATGTTCTTTTAAAAAAATCCATTAAAATATTTAATTTTAAGTCGATTAATTCTTTATTAATGCTTTCAAAAGCATTAGAAGCGCGTCTCAATTTAAATCGAAAATCAAAGAATTGATGCTAGATCAAAATTAGTTGCA